GGGGAGGGGTGCAGCCGACAGCATCCTGAGGGCCGGTTGCAGGGTCAGCCCCCGCCTCCCTCCCTCCAGTTCCTGTTGTTTCCCCGCTCCTAGCCCGTGGCCTTGATGGACAGCAGGTTTCTCCTTTTGGTTTCCTTAGCCCAGTGGTCGGCAAACTCATTACCAACAGGGCCAAACATCAACAGGACAACGACTGAAATTCCTTCTGAGAGCCACATTTTTTAAACTTACACTGTATAGGTCGGTACATTGTTATTAACTGAATGAGGGTGCTCCTAAGGCTTAGGCAGAGCCACACTCAGGGGGCCAAAGAGCCGCCTGTGGCTCGCCAGCCGCAGTTTGCCGACCACGGCCTCAGATCTATGTGTTACGTCTCCTCCGCCAGCCTCGGCTCGGGGGCGCGAGTGTGAGACGCTGACCCGTGCGCCTGTCCGGCTGCAGCTCGCGCCCCGGCCGAGGCTCTGGTTCCCACTCCTAGGCCTGCTGCTTTCTGTGGGCTTCACTCACCGCCATTCTTTCCATTCCTGTTACAAGCAGATCTGGTCTCAGTTTGTCGGAAATGCTCACTTTTCCGAGCGTAGTCACGTACCTCGCTTGTGCTTCGTGCTCATATGTTTTAATGACAGTTACATTCACAGTTATTCCGCAGTGGCTTCGGGTGCCCAGCGTGGTGGTCGACGCCCATATCTCACTCAGGGTTCCCCTCCGTGGTCCCAGTGCCCCCCCAGCACCGGACGCAGTGACTGCAGAACTCCCGCCCGCATTCCCGGGGCTGCCCGTTATGTCCCCGGCGGTCCGGTGACAGCCAGTTTGTCCTTCCGGATTCATCCCTTCACCTGGGCCACCCCGCTGCCCCCCTCCCTCCCCTCCTGCCACCACCCGTCTGTTCTCTGACTATGAGTTTGTTCTCATTTTGCTTGTTCATTTATTTTGTTCTTCGGATTCGTTCCGCACATCCGTGCAATCGTGTGTTATTTGTCTTTGTCTGTCTGACGTATTTCACTGACGTAACGCCCTCCGGGTCCTTCCACGTTGTCGGGAAAGGTGAGGTTTCCTTCATTTTCACGGCCGAGCAGTGCTACCTGGTGTGCATGTCCCACAGCTTTGTCATCCCCTCATCGCTGACCGGCCCCTGGGTGTTTCCCGATCTTGGCTATGGTTAGTGGCTGCTGTGAACAGAGGGGTGCATATGGCCTTTCAAAGTCCTGTTTTGGGTTTCCTCAGATACATTCCCAGAAGTGGGACCACTGGGTCATAAGGCCCATTTTCCTTCTTTCTTTCTTTCTTTCTTTCTTTCTTTTAAGCCTTTTTAAAAAAATACATTTTATTGATTTTTTACAGAGAGGAAGGGAGAGGGATAGAGAGTCAGAAACATCGATGAGAGAGAAACATCCATCAGCTGCCTCCTGCACACTCCCTACTGGGGATGTGCCCGCAACCCAGGTACATGCCCTTGACCGGAATCGAACCTGGGACTCTTCAGTCCACAGGTCGACGCTCTATTCACTGAGCCAAAATGGCCAGGGCATAAGGCCCATT